ACGTGATGTCTGTTCCTAATAAGGTTCAACCCCAGAGCAGACTCGTCCAGGAAGTTATAGTAAAACAAGATCGTTTAGGCTAGCTAAGCGATCCAGGGATTTCTTTGTATCTAAGTTGTCACGTGATCAAAATAGCTACGGATAGCCAGCTATTTGTGGGAACATAGAATAGCCAGCTATCTACAGCTATTCTATGAGGACGAAGGTTCTATATAAGACTGGCACGTCTGCCATTAGATAGGAGCTTCGTGCTCAACTTAGTTATCAATCTTATCATATTAGTTTGACATCTTTGATACAAGTAACGAGTTCACTTCCAAGTGAACAACCCGGTAGTCTTCTTCTTATCATAGCATACCAACCAGCGAACACCCAGCCAAGTTTAGTTAGCCAGTTTGAGTATTCGTTACACTGGAGAGGGTTGAGATATGATAGGGAAGGAGAAAAAGGTAAGTAGTCTAGGAATGTATAGCCTAAGTAGGAGGACTAGATTAAATCAGCGTGGCAAATTCGAGGAGTAGAAATAAGTATTAGTACCTACTCAATTCAACTCAACTCGAGTACCTAGTGAAAATCACTAATCAGCTTAACTCGCTAAGCTCTCGATTGACTTATGAGTAACTCGAGTAGTGTCGCCCGATGCTCCGTAGCGCGCCCGACTCCGGTACAACTCCAGTTAAGATAAGATTACAGTGAGCAATTAAGCAGTTCTATATTAACGCTAGCAAAGAACCCTACCCTCTTCCCCGTTCAGTACGCAACCACATGTATGTTACAGTACTTCCGTCCAAAGAGCCAACAAATGTGAGGGTTGGAACCCATGATGGAGGCTCGGGCCATGCCCTCGCTAAGCACTGACCAAAGTCCCCGCTCAGCATTGGCCATTGCTCCACTGCTAAATTGGTTTCTCCTTTTCTACACTTTTCTACTCTATTCTTTTGACGTCACGTATTTGTCAAACAGTTTCTTGGAAGACTCCAGAAACTCTTCCTCTCTCTATATATAGAGGAAGAGATTGTATGTATGTAGTCTTCACGCACTTCTTAATTGAATATTCGAAACCACACCTTTGAGCTATTCGAGGTCTGGCCTCTCATTGACGTCACGTATTTGTCAAACAGTTTCTTGGAAGACTCCAGAAACTCTTCCTCTCTCTATATATAGAGGAAGAGATTGTATGTATGTAGTCTTCACGCACTTCTTAATTGAATATTCGAAACCACACCTTTGAGCTATTCGAGGTCTGGCCTCTCACAACAAACAAACAAGTCGCAATCTCCCCAAGAAATCACGACAGCCTGAAAGTCCCAACTATAAAAGAAATAAAAACAACAAGAAAAGCCTTTCTTCATTAACCCCGAACTTCGGGATTCTCTTTGAATTCTCTATTTTATTTATTTATTTATTACTATTTAACGTCAGGCGGAATCTAACTCGCGTGGGCTAGGTCCTAAAAGTCCCATTGTTGGG